TGCCAAAGGGAAACAGAGTTTAGTGCAGGCATTTTGACAGGAGTGACGCAGAGTCAGGCAGCCACAGCCTCGGTTTCCCATCTATGGAGCCAGGACACAGCCCTCAGGTGCCGCTCTGCTTCCTATTGTAAACACCACAGCTGACAGAAGTCTCTCTGGCTTCCCTCCCTCCCTCAGACGCTCTCATTACATTCTTATTCTGAAAATCCTGGCCAACTCCGCTTTTATAAATCCCAGGTAATCCGCGATGTAAGATTGCCATGAGGTCAAGGCCAGCATGGACTACACAGTGAGTGACATTCCAGCACAGGCTACAAAGCAAAACCCCGTGTTGGAGCAAAAGGCTGGTGAGATGGCTCAACAGGTAAAGGTGCTCATTGCCAAGGCTGCTGAGCTGAGTCCGATCCCAGAGGACACCTGGCTGAAGGAGAGAACTGCCTCTGGCTGCTTGTCGTCTCAACCCCACACACAGATACACCCAAATGGAATGTGACGCAGGTCAAAACAAACCCCAACACAGACTGATTCCAGTCCTTCATCACCAAGCTTAGAAATCAAATCAAAGCAGGTAGAGGGCTGTGCAGGAGCATAGTTTAGAGAAATAGGTAAAGCTGGGGAAAGTGCTTCAGCTGGCTTGGCTTGTGGAGCTGTGTGGAGGCTCTCGTAAAAAGGAGTCCCTGAGCTGCACTCTGCCAGTGGCTGCAGCTCCTTCATGGTTGTCTTTCTCCTCTAAAGCGTGTTACGTCTTTGAGAAGTGTGGGTGCTGTGCGTGCGCTTGCCACCAGCTTTAGTCAGACACACACGGCTTGAACTGAGTAAATGAGACAGTAAATAAAAAATACTGTGTTTGAACAAAGTCCTTTGGACAGATGTTTACACCATTTATACATCTGGACTAGAGATTATTATTACAGTCATTTGAGAAAGCCCAGAACGTAAGTGGGATGTGAAGAGATTTCAAAATTTTTTGAGTTATCCTCAGTCACCCATACAAGTTTACAGAACTGATTCCTGCCAGGTTCGCAGTAAAAAGAGAGCTGAGGGCTTTTGAAAGCAAACAAATGGCCTGACCTTTTATAGGAGTAAGTGAAGAAGGGAAAGAAAGAAAAAAAGAAAGAAAGAAAGAAAGAAAGAAAAGAAAGAAAGGAAAGAAAGAAAGAAAGAAAGAAAGAAAGAAAGAAAGAAAGAAAGAAAGAAAGAAAGAGAAAGAAAAAGAGAGAAAGGAAGGAGGGAAAGAAGGAGGCCTCCAGGTGAGAAAGCATAATCAAATCAGAACCGCTATTTTCATTTTTTATGCATCCCTTAACGTATTTATATACCACTTGGTAACTGTATGGATACATCCTGTCTTTTAAAATTTTAGCCCAAATCTTTATTAAATGGTTTCAAGTTGAAAAGTACTTGGCATAAGACAGAACAAATGGTAAATGCCATATTAAATAGAAGCATTTATTAGCATAAACAGGGTTGGGCGAGGGGCCCTATCATCATTCAACCAAAATGAACTGTTGCACTGTATAATAGAAGTCAGAAGGCCCAAGGGAAAATGTGTATTTAAGTGACATCTGACACTATCTCTAATGACCTCTTAATTGGCCCATTGAAACTTGATGGGCTTTCAAGCTTCCTCCTGAAGAAACTAAAGAATTGTTGCATCCTCCAGTGCAGTCGGCCTGCTTACCCTTGCCTGTATGTGCCCACAAAACTCAAATACGGAATAGAATACAGAAATTTTGCTCTCCTAAATCTTTCTTAAGGAATTGGAAGGACAATGGAAGACAGGTATTTTACCATGCAAAGGCTATTTTCTATGGAGAATTGTCTATACATGACGTCCAGGACAGGGCAGTGCCAGGCAGCGCTCTACACCAGTGCAATGGGAAGTCCCGGTTAAACAGCAAGGTAGACATGCAGGAGCATGTGCGGGGAGAACCGTCTGGGACCCTCCTTTCTCGGGTAGCTCTCAAGTCACTTGTCCTTTTCTCTAATCCGCTTTGGTTTTCTTACCTCCAGGAGAGATGTAGAAACAGTTGAGTTGAGCTTCATGCACCACCTTGCCCTTGAACTTCCCTTCTGTCTCCTCAGACAGGTGACTGGAAAGCGGCTGGTATGGGGGGGTGGATGGCTGAACGAAGGCTCGAATCATTGTGACTTCCAGTTGGGTACTGAAAGCTAGTTTCACAACTAAACAATTATCCCCCTTGTAATTTTTTTTGTACCTTTTAAAAACTCAGAAATGATTTCTGTGGCCACATTTTGGGCCATAAAATCTCATACAGCCCTATCACTCCTCTGTGAATCCGGGCTTTTGCTCTCAGATTTAGAATTCGGAAAGCACGCCTCCCTTCCTGGGTCCTTTCTGCTGTGTTCGGACCTGTGCAGAGACAAGCCCTTCCCCAGTGGAGCCCTGGATGGAAATGGGAAGCAAATGGCTTCTGTCAGCCTGACAGCTCGTCACCTGCTGAAGATGATGAGCTCTGGTCTTTGTATATCACCACAAGCTGTCTGGCACAGCCTTTTGTGTGGAAGGGTGATAGGCCCGGTGGGGAGGGGACCTGGGCCCTCGACACAGAGAACTAGAGCTGGAATGCACACTCCCATGGATTCACAGTGCCGCTGAGCTGTGAAACTATTTTAAGGAGAGAAAGCACAGGCCCAGTCCTCTCTATCTGGCTCCTTTTAGTAGCCAGGAATGCTGGTAAATTTGTGTTTTATCTTTCCCTTTCCCTGCCTATTTAAACCGTATGTTCAAGCTAAATATTAACTAGATAAAAAGACCTGTTTCAAATTATTCCATTTGAATGTTAAAAAATATGTTGCCTCATAGCTAAATCTTCATGAGGTCCTAAATAACAAACCCGGTGTTTCCTTCATTCTGCCTCAACATTTGATGGTTTTCCATTGCTTTTCTGCCCTAAACTTGTGTGTCAGCATCTCATGGTAATGAAGATGTCAAAAGGCTGTTGTTCGTGCCAACAGTTCCTTGGCATCCTCCCCTTATGGAACTCCTAGTTCCTTATGTCAGATGTCAAACAGGAGGAAGAATGGTGCCCAGAATGCTTGTTTGTATGGTTTATTGGTAAGGCACCATTGCCATTTTTTCTGCAATCGGCTTTAGTTTCTGGTCGCAATGTGGGCTCTGGACTTTCTTTTGGAAAACTTTGTCTCCAAAGAAGGAAAGTTTTCACTGCAGCTGTGCAGCCCAACGCACCTACTGTAACTAAGACACAAAAAATTGGGCACATAGATGCACGTAGATTCCTTACAACGGGGCTGAGTGCTGGGGATCCCTGGAGGTTCTTAGCAGGGCTGAGTGCTGGGAATCCAGCCTGACCTTACACGTGCAGAGGACAGCAGTCTGTGAAAGCTGAGTGGGAGTGACTGCTGATGGTTAGGAAGTAGCCTTGAATCCAAGTTCCCACAAACACATCTAGTCCTGATGCAAAGCTTTCGTTCTGAGGTGAAAGTGCTCACAGCATACTGAATTGAGAACACTGATGTTCTCATTCATTTCCCTTAGATTTGTCAGAGTCGCTAGGACAGATGTGTGTGTGTTTCTATCTGAGAGTAAGCAGGTTGAAAAAGCCTGGAGTTTCATCTCCCTTTGCCCTCTTTATATATATATATGGATCTGAAATACAGGTTCTGCATACAGGGCCTCTCAGGGCAAAGAGCATTTGTTGCTTTTCCAGAGGAGCAAGGTTTGGCTCTCAGCACCCACATCTGGAAGCTCACCCTCCTGCCACTCCAGCTCGGATGTCCTTTCTCACGTGTGTGTGCCCTGCACACACGGCACATGCACATAAAAAAAAACTTTTTTTAAAGATTCTTCATACATTTGATCAGTACAGAAATGAAGTTTAAAACCTCAATGGTGACTTTTGGCAAGGTGGTGATTTAGATTCATAAGGCTTTTTTCTGCCTGCTTAAAATAGCACTAAAAAGACAGTTTCTGTTCCTTTGGATATTTATATCATTATTGTCCTGAAGCAGAAAGTTCATTTCTGGGCATTGGCAAGAGGAGTGAGGAGAAAAAGATGTGCTTAGACTATCATAGCTGTCTTCATACAAAATAACTAAATGCTTTGAAAGTTTAAATTTTATGTTTTCCTTTGCTGATTTCCATTTTTTTGCTTTATCATAATATTGCTGTTGTTTTCAATGAAGTTTTGTTTAATGCCCATGTACTTTACATATTATTTACATGATTATTTGCATATATGACCAGGACCTAAAATAGGTACTTAGAAATGTATCCTGCAACTATTCTAATGTCCACTATAAAGTGATGGAGCTAGATACATCCTAAATTTAATAGACAGCTTAGCTGAAAAATTATTAAATGAATCAATCACAGTTATGTTATTTCCATTCATTGCTAAATAGCTACACTCTAGCCATACCTAATCTTCCAACACTTGTAAATTTTCTGTACAGACATTTTTAAGTGAAACTTATTATTAAAATATATTTCCTAGTTTCCTATCCTAATAACTCACAGCCAATTTTTCAGTTAACATATTCCTTGGAGAAGGAGAGGGAAGGAAGTTTCTAGGCATAATTTGAGCATCAGGTTTGTGAATATTTAAAATAAAGATGAAATGTGTTTTGTGAAATGTGCAAATGGAATATAGAAACAATGATGTCTCAAAGCCAAGAAGTTTAGAAATCCTGGCCTCGTTTTCGCTCTGTAGCCACTTATTTAAGAAGTGTCATTCAGCAGCTGCCTGTTGGGTTAGAGGCCGCACTGCCAAGGGCAGCCACTGCGGCATACACAGCCCAGCAGCACGTCCTAACAGTGGAGGTTTTTCCTTTTGACACAGACTGTCATGTAACCCTGGCTTTAACTCCGGTGACTGGCTTCATTTATTTAATAATTAATTGAATGAGTTAACTCTGTAACTAATTATTATATATTTTCATCTAAGACGGAAAGGGAATTTCTTTCCATTGTGTGGCTTTGAAGATGCTTATGGTTTGTTTGATGTGTTTTTTCCCAGTGTCCATTTATGGAATTTGGTTTTATGATACAGAAGAGTGCCAGAGAATTGCAAAACTGATGAAAAAGTAAGTATGAAAAAGCCACGTATTTCCTAGGAGCTAGCACTTTGGTTCATATTTTCTGAGTGTGTGAAGCACAGTAACTTTACCAGGAAGTGTCTCTCAGCCACCAACTTCAGCGTGATCCCCCAAACACTGGACACCACTCAGACTGTGAGACGAGTGAGAAATGGCTTGCTGTGCTTTCTCTAGGTCTGCCCTAGAGAACTGTGGCCTGTTGTTCCGCCCCGTGTGCTGTGAGCCATTCCGCATGGTGTTTTCTTTGGTATTTTCCTCATTTGTGAATAAGTCACTTTCTCTGGAGAGTTATGTGTCCATCAGTAAAAGGAGCATGCAGAGTCAACCTGAAAGGCTACCACAGAGCTTCTCCTACCCTCCACTTCCTTCCTCCCCTTTAAGAGCTTTTCTTTTCAACTGTTTAACTCAGAATCCCCAGCTCCTCAAACAGCAAGTGCTTAGAATCATCTTTAGTTCTCAGTCCACACTCAACCTCCCTGTCTCTCTCTTTCTGTCTCTCTCTGTCTCTCTCTCCATCCCTCTCATTACTGGCCCTCTTAGTGTCTTCCTCACATGCTGGTTCTGAGATGATTCCGCACTATATTACTATCCAAGTTTTCTCCTCTTCGCTTCCCTAATTGCATCAAAAGGAGGCCCAGGTGAGACTGGCACAATCTGACCAGCTACGGACTTGGCTGCCCAGTTTTGCTGCTGTTTATGCAAATAGCCAAGAGCCTCAGAATGCAGTTTACTAGTGAAGCTGGGTCTCCTCTGCCTAGGATAGCTGTTCCCCATGTGGATGTGATGCTCTGTCTGCAAAGAAACAGTGTTCATTTCTAAATCCCAGGGCAGTGAAATGAAAAAGTGACCCCTGCAAGGAAATGAAAACAAGGGAACACATTTTTATAAATAAAATTGACTCCTGAAATTCTCGCCTGTGAGAGCTAATTTTAGGCAACCAGCTCAAGTCACAGATGGTGATTAAGTGTGTTCAAACTGGTAGTTACCACCATAACAACCAGTTCTTAAACATTTCATGTTGTTGTAAAATGTGCAAAGGGTAATAATAGCAGGATTTCATATGGGTTAAAAAGTACCCTAAACTCAGCCAAGCCGTCATGGCAGACCTGGTAGTGTTGTGCAGTGACTGCCTAAGAGCTCAACAGGAAACTGATGTAGAGCCATGTGGTCAGTGTTAGGATGGGACCTTTATGCTATCTCCAAATTTCCAGAGAACTGCAGGATCTGAGGTGGTACAGTCCACCTTGCTGGACCTCAAGGCATTTCAGAAGGAGGCAAATCTCTGTGCCATGCTGACCATCCCTGTAGAGTGTTCTGTATGAGGATTCTCTTTTCTGCTATTGTCATGTAAAAGCAGCCATGGCTGATGTGTCCAGCAATGAGCAAGCCCGTGTTTGTTATTCTCTTTATAAAGACAGGTGGGTCAGGCTGGAGTCTGAAGCCATAACTTGCTGACTCCTATCCTGGATTTATATATGTGTGGCCAGTTGACTCAAGACCTCGTCTCTCATTTTCTGTTTCAAATGCCTGAGTGGTCTTTCTAAGATGGTTCTAAAGGGATGCAAACCGTTGGGAGAGAATTGGGGTTATAGCGTTGGTTTGACTTTAGTTTCCTGATATGCGTCTTCCCTTGTTTTTCTAGACTCACTCAGTGCGAACAGTTGAAAGCCTGTCATGGAGCTGGAGCAGAATGCTCCCCAGTGACCCCGAGTTTAGGAGAGAGCCGCGAAGTCGATATCTTACAGATGCTCACCAAGGCCAAAGATGAGTACACAAAGGTGAGTCTCTGCTCTTCCTTATGATAAGGAACCATGGTGAGAAAGACTTATGGCTCTTGAGAAGCCAGCCAGGTGAAATCAAGATAGTAGACTAGAGACTGTTTGCTTTTTAAGTAAATTAAAGGGTAGCCTAAGAAATTAATAGCTTTTATACAGACAAATTGTATTCAGTCAGAGGACCTACTAGATTTACAGTGGCAGTGTATAAATAAAATTCATGTCTTTGTTGGTGGGGCAGATCTGTAATCCCAGCATTGGGGAAGCTAAAACAGGCGGGTGGTGAGTTTCAGAATAGCCAGGATTACATGATGAGACTTCTCAAAAACCCAGAGCATGAGCCCCAGCAACATGGCTCAGTGGGTAAGAGCATCTGTCACCAGGCCTCATGACCTGAGTTCGATCCCTGGGACCCACAAGTTGTCCTCTTCTGACCTCTACACATGTGCTGGTACCCCTCCCCAGTGAAGAAATAAAAGGTGCTTTAAAACACTATAAATCAAAACAAAACAATAAAAGTAGACTTGAATTTGAATATCCTGTAAGCTAAGGTTTAAGAATATTGAATGTAAAGTTGTCAGTTCTCTTTTAGTCTATAAAGTTAAGGTGATTTCTAAGTAAATGCCACTGTTTTCTTTTTCTCCTTTTCAGAGAACGGACAAGCTGACTATAGACAAGAAAGAGTAGTGGGGTAGGAGCGCTGTAATGTTGACCAGCAATACTGGCAGGAGCTAGAGTAGGGGTCCAGGAAGCAGGCTTTACTTGATGATAGACTCTGGTTATGAACATGTAGGCCACCGTAGATTGTTGGCACTCATACATAGCAGCCAGACAGGCCGACAGGATAGGTGACGCCAGAATTAAATGTGATTACAGATCAAGTTTATGATATAATACAGAACAGTTTCAGGCCAGTGATATGAATGGATTCTTAAATAAACTGTGTTGAGTCAACTGGTACCCATTTGGACAAGTACAGAATTCAAACTAAATGTATTAGAAGATTCAGGTTCCAGAAGAAAACTTACTTGTATCTCTTTGCAATCTAGGGAAAAAAAAAGAAATCTTCCTAACTGTGCCTTAAAACTCAAAACCAATTAATTTTAACTATATGAAAAATTACCATTTTGCAGATTAAAAAAAAACAAACAAAATTTTGTAACAAATGAGAATATTCATACCTAAAAACTAGGAAATGGGTTAAGTCCCCTAAAAATTGAAGTGTTCTCTAGAAAAATGGGAAACATAAAATAAAATTAAGGAAAAAAAATCTTAGGATTTGGAAACTGGGTAAAAAAATAAGAAAATATAACTGAATATTATATTATGGCATAATTAGAAAAATCATGACTTCAAGTCACAGTATTTAAACTTAACAGTCTTTGTAAATTATTCTTTAAGGATGAAAAGAACAACAAATTAATTCAGCAGTCTTGTTATTAGTAGGAATATTGGTCTTATAATTTGTCAACTGTTTACAATAAATGAAAATTTACTTCAGTGTATAATAATGTATGATATTATGGTAATGAGGGGAGAGACCGCATGGACAAAATTCAACCAAAAATGAACTATTACTATCTTTTCTTTTAAAGTTCTCAGACACCAGTACCTGCCTTCAACACTGGTATTTAATTGGGTGTGTGTGTGTGTGTGTGTGTGTGTGTGTGTGTGTGTGTGTGTGCACGCACTCGAGGGCAGTCACAAACAAGCCACAGTTCACATGTGGAGGTCAGAGGGTGTCTTTCAGATGCCAGATCTCTCCTCCTGTCATGTGGGTTGTGGGTTCTAGGAACAAACTTAGGTCATTAAAGATCCCAGGGTTAAACTCAGGTTGCTAGACCCATTTTTCCCGCTATCCATCTCATAGGCCTCACACTGATGGTCTTCTCTGTCTTCATTCTCGTTGGTTTATGAACTCTTGGACTCTTCAGGCTTTCCATAACATGGTCTTCAGGGTATTCTATAAATATTTGAAACTAACATCTGCTTCCTGAAAGTGCCTTCCCCACCCATCCAAACAAGACCAGCCCTTCAAGGTCCATTTCGTATCCTTCCCACCACGAGTCATGCCTGACCTCCCCCTGTTAGCATCAATTGCAGTGCACGGACCTTGTCTTGGGGGTGCTGTCACCTCTCATACGTGCATGGAGGCGTTCAGACATGCTCAGACAATGTACAGACCATCAGCAAAATGGGTCTGGTATGAAGAAGTGGGAAATGGAAACAGTCATAAAAAACACGGGATTCTTTCCCTTGGAGTTGTTCTTGTGAAGCGCGTCTCCATTTTTGGACATGTTTAAGAAGACATAGAGATGTTAGAAAAGAATTTCATGTTTCTTGATAAGAATTAAACAAAGACTTTTCTGACTCTGGAATTTGGTGGGGAGTTCAGTTTTATTTTTAAATTATTTTTTAATTTAATTGAAAAGTTAAATTTGTTTAAATTAAGACATACAACATGATGTTTTGATACATATATATTGTGGAATGGCTAAATCAAGCTACTTAGCGTATATATTACCTTATATAGTTAGCATTTTTTGTGGTGAGAGCACTTAAAGTCTCCTCTCAGCATCTTTCAGAGATGCTATTATTAGCTGTTAGTCACTGTGGTGTGCAGTGGATCCTTTGAGTTTCCCACCCTGTCTGGTGTCTTAAACATCCCCACAGTGGCCTGTCCCCCCAGGCCTCTGATAGCTACCAGTCTCCCTCCCATGTGAGTTCTGCTTTTCTATGTTCCACATAGAAGGGGATTTGTGTCTGTTCTGGATTGGCTGAACACATTATCCTCCAGTTTTATCCATGTGATCACAAGTGGCCGGACTACTTCTTTTTTGAAAATTAAATATCCCATGTGTTTGCGTGCATGCATGCACGTGTGTGTGTGTGTGTGTGTGTGTGTGTGTGTGTGTGTTTTATTTATCCATCAATCTGCTGTCACACATTTTATTGATCCATGTCTTGCTTTTTATAAATGCTGCTGCAATAAGCACAAAAGTGCAGTCGACTCTTGGACATAATGGTTTCTACCCTGTAGTTTATGCCCACAATCTGATTGGCGGGTCTAGTAGTTATTTTAGATTTTGAGGAACTTCAATAGGAATGGTCTACACAGACTATCAGCAATATTGTACTAGGATTCCCGTTGTGCCACAGCCCCAACAACACTTTGTTAGGTTTTGCCTTTTAAAAAAAAATTTTTTTTTATTTTAGGTATGTGCATCATCACATGTATGCCTCATGCCCACAGAAGTCAGAAGAGGGAGTCAGATTTCCTGGAAATAGGGCTGTGAGTGTTAGGAACCTAACCTGGGTCCTCTGGAAGCAACAGGTGCTCTTGGCCTTTGAGCCGTCTCTCCAGCCCTCTTTGGCCTTTTGAGCATGCACACTCTACCTGGGGTGATGTAAAGTCCCATTGTAACTTTGATTAGCATTTCCCTAACGACGAGAGTTGTCATTTTGAGTCCAGACTGGGCTATGTAGTAACACTCTGTCCAAAAAAGAAAAAGAAAAAAGGACTAAGGAGTGATGTGTAATAAGAGGTGAAGTTACTTCTCAGTGCATAGGAAAGGTAGGGGAAAGTCTATTTATTTGTTTGTTTTGTTGTTGTTGTTTTGTTGTTGTTGGTTTGCTTAAAATAAAGTCATTCTGTAGAATTAACATCCACCTTGAAAGTGGAAAGAAGGGTGAGGCCAGCGCTTTCTAAGTCAACATCTTACTGTCCTTATGGCCTTGCCTGCCCTGCTCTTAGGAAGACGGCAGTTGGCCAGGGCAGCGACACCACCCATCACTATCACTCACTTAAGAAGAATGCAAAAATAACACTTTATGACTTAAAAGCAAATCCACACTCTTTTCCGTACTAATACCTAATGGCCAAAAATTGGCAGAATTCTTGCAAAACATAGTTAGACTTTAGTGTGGTTGACCTAACAGACTGGTGCACATGAGCCCGTGCCCCAGAAGCTGGGAAGCCCGCTCAGAACTGTGGGCACTCAAGATGGGAAATGGTGCCTATCACTCGTGCTTAGTCAGATGCAGTGAGAGGCTGCAGTGGACACGGCCCTGTTGCATTGCATGTTTTAACAAAATAAACCCCAGCGTCATTGCTAGGGGCTTTTGTAAAGAATCCTGCTGTTAGAGATTGCACGGTTGGTTAGAGTAACAGGTGATAATGAGCCAGTATTTGAAGTGATGAGGCTCGTCATTCTAGTTTGTAGTGAGCGGCTCAGAACACTTTCTTTAAATTATTCTGCCTATGCAAGAAATCGTCTTTTAAATAAAGATGGTGTTAGCAATTTTTAAAGATTTAATTATTTATTATTTATACCGTGATCTGCCTGCATGTGTGCCTGCACACCAGAAGGAAGCACCAGATCTCACTGTGGATGGTTATGAGCCACCATGTGGTTGCTGGGAATTAAACTCAGGACCTTTGGAAGAACAGGCGGTATTCTTAACCTCTGAGCCATCTCTCCAGCCATGTTAGCAATTTTTAAATCAAAGGTGTAAGGCAGCTTTTACTTTTTAGTTTGTAGCCCAAAAGTTTAGGTGCTTGGGTTGGATATTTTTAGCAGCCTCCCGTATTCTACTCTAGCTGTGTTGATTCTGTGAGTACTTTCTATTGAAACCTATTAGACTGGTTGTTTTAAAACTGTCTTCTTAAGCAAACACATAGCCTTCCAACTACCCAAGAGCATGTGGGTCCTCAGGGCTAGGTGACAATAGTGGTGGTATTTCAGGGCACTGAATTACACACACAAAATAAATTTGTGGTTGTTTTCTACCCAAATACAGTTCCCATCAGAAAGGAAGGAGAGATCATCCTTCATGTATGAAAACTTATTTTAAAATGGCCATTTGCCAGTTAGACAAGCAAGAGCCAGTGCAAAGGCTCTAAAGCTTTTTTTTTCCATCAAAAATGAAATATTTGGGTTTTTCCATTTCAGTGTAAGACCTGTTCTGAGCCAAAACAGATAACCAGTTGTTCTGCCATCTGTGACAACCCTAAACTTATCAAACCCGTCCCTGTGAGACCCGGCAGCAGCCAGAGGCTACAAGAACCCGTGCCCAGCAAGGTAGGAGTCCTCTGCGTGTTTTGTTTTCTTTTTAAAGACTTTTATTTTTTTTGAAATTAAAACATAATTACACGATCCCTTCGCCCTTTTCTTTCTTCCCTCCACCCCTTCCATTGTAAACTCCCCTTGCCTTCTCTCACTCATGGCCTCTTATTTCTTTATTTTCTAAATATTATGTATTCCTAAACTGTATAATACAACTTGTTCAGTCCAGCTTATTTGTTAAGTACATGTGTACAAGGTGAGTCACATGTACATGCTTTCAGGACTAACCATTTGGTATGGGATAGTCGCTTGGCGTGCTCTTCCCTTAGGGGGACTGTTTCTCCTGCCCTCAGCATCCCTTAGTTGCCTGTAGTTTTTGTCCAGGAGCAAGGCCCTGTGAGATCTCCCCTTCCATGTCAGCAAGCCTTCCGTCGGTGTCATGCCACTCTAGTCATAAAAGCCTGGAAATGGAAACATCTTAAACGTCCTTCAACTGATGAATGGATAATGAAAATGTGCTGCGCATACACTATGGAATACTGGTCAGCTGTAAAGAAAAGTAAAATCATGAAAACTGCCGGTAAATGGCTAGAACTAGAAAAGATAATACTGAGTGAGATAACCCAGACCCAGAAAGACATATGCCACGTGTTCTCTCTCATCTGAGGCTCCTAGCTCCAGACCTCCCAGTCTGAGTATGTAACCTGGAGTGACTGGAAACCCTCTGCTCTTGTCTGTGGCCTCTCTGGGGTTCTCAAAGAGCTATGCCCACCTACCACAGGGGTGGGCCTGGCACTGCTGAAGGACAGCAAAGGTCAATGGAGAAAAGCAGATTTGTTGCACTGTGTACCTGTAGCACTCATAGTCTTCCTTGGAGACTGTAGCATTTACTGTGTGTGTGTGTGTGTGTGTGTGTGTGTGTGTGTGTGTGTGTGTTGTGTGTTGTGTGCTATTCAAAACAGTACAGCAGAGACAAAATCCACTGATTAGCAGGGCCCACTATTGATTGTAAAGGAAGTGTGTTCTTTCCTCGTAGTCATTCCGAAGTAAGAGGTGTTTTTCAAGGAATTAGTTTAAATTGGTTCTGAAAATGGGCATGAGCCAAAGACATGAAATGACTGACTAACAAAAATCTTGTTTTGAATTTTTCAAAAATAATGTTTTCTAAATTAGCTTTTCAAGAGAATTTTTATTTCATTTTAGTAGAAAAACCAAGATACGTTAGCTTTAGAATGGCACTTGTATTTTCAAGCAGAATGTGCAGGAGGAAGAAGGGCTTAGGGGCAGGAGGACGGTGCAGTGTGACAGCCGGACCAAAGCATTGTGTAATGTCCTTGCACGTTAGATTGAAATACTCATTTCTTTCTGGCCTTGGCTCTCTGTAACTCTGTGAAAAGCTACCAAGAACCTGGAGATCTTACATCCAGCTCATTTTCAGCATGTCCTGTTCTCAGCATCCCTAGGTGGACCCTGGCTGTAGAGATGGGTTGCCATCAAGTATGTGCCATCTTCTCCTGTAGAGCATAATTTTGTACCCAAATCTGTGAGGTGTGGACCCCTTAAGGATCACACGCATGTCTTATCAAGTGACCAGATACTGTGGTGTAACAGCAGTCTTGGGGGCAGGGAGGGGAGAATGCTGTGAAGATATTAGACATCGCAAAGGCCTTAGGCTTTTCAAGTTAGCAGACTTCACCCCTGTCACTGATCCTTTGTGAAGAGAAGAAACCATCAGTTAGCTGAGGTATGCTCCACAGCCACCCCCTCCCCATAACCAAACTATGTGAACCTATTTTTGGTTATCTTTTTTTTTCCCCTAGACCTTGGACCCCGAGCCCCAACACTTAACTTTGACAGCACTATTTGGGAAACAAGACAAAGATACCTGTCAGGAAACTGCGAAACCCTCTCATACCTTCGCCCACCACCATCACCATCACCACCACCACCACCAGCAGCAGCAAGAGAAGCTTCCCATTCATCACGGGCTTGCATGCTCCCTGTCCTGTAAGGAGCCCAGAAAGCTCTCACTCCCCGTGGAGAAGCAGCTATGCCCCGCCATCCAGAAACTCATGGTCGGGAGCACAGGGCTGCACCCCCTGCCACAGCACCACGAACGGTGGCCCTGTCAAAGCGGCAGCCCCGGTCCTGCAGGAGGAATTCTTCCTGGTCCTGTCCAACTGGGGTCCCCCTGGACTGGCGGGACTGCCCACTGCACACAGAGCGCTTGCAGAAGCCACAAGCTTTTCGAGCAGCTTCAAGGTGCCCCTGGGGCAGCGCATAACCCCTGTGCACCTGCCAGCCCAGCTGTGGCCACTCAGGTGGCTCCAGACCAAAGCGTGGCTCAGTCACAGCTGGTGTATTTCAGTAGCCCCCTTCCACCTCCTCCACCAGGACCTCAGGCGCTCAGGAAGGAGCAGTGTGCACCACCAGTACAAGCCCTGGCCCTCTCTGGCAGCCAGGAGAGCAGCCCCTGTCTGCTCCCCACTCAGGAGCTGCTAAGAAAGCTCCAGGTAGTCCAACAGGAGCAGCAGGTGGCCCCCCGGCCAGCCTTGGCAGCCAGGTTCCCCGTGTCAGTCCAGGGCTCAGGGACAGAAAAGCCCTTAGAAGCCTGGGTCAGCCCGACAGCCGGCATGGAGAAACGGGCTCCTCTTCTGCAGGTAAATATGTCCTGGGGAGAGCGCTGCCATAGTATTGCCGAGGAATCTGCAGCTGGCTGCTGTGCTACAGGGAACGTGGGTCCCGCTGGGTTTCCTTTTAGAACAGCTACCCAAAGGCCCCTCGCTGTGTCTCTTTGTCTTTCACCTTGCCTTTCTGCCTGGACAGGGAAGCTTCCCTCTGTTCACAGGCTGCCGCTCCTCCACCATTTAGAGGTAGTTTGTTTGTAGAGTTAAATCTTTAGCCTGTCATAGGCCTGAAGACCAGGCCAGATGTGGAAAAATACCTAGCTTTTGACTAGAAGACCCATGGCAGTTGGCTCTGACATTTTGGGGTGTAAACACCTGGCTGATTCTTGGTTTCCACCCCATGGTTGATTGTTGCTTGCTCGTTGGCTCTTGTGTGATTTTGAGTACTTCTTACATGTCTGTGGCCACTTTACTGCACAGTAGTGAGAAAGCACACTCCGGATCTCTACAGCCAGCAATCGTGTAGGTTCTTGAAGTAAACAGAAATAACAGTACAGATCCTGTTGTTTTTATCATCTTCTAGGTGATCAATATTATGAAGACTAGGTAGGAACAAGTGTACCACTCGCAGACTGCCAGAGAAGGGAACGTAGTGTCATTTCTAGAAATAGTGTATCTTTCTGGAAAGGTAGTTGTCTGTACCCATGAACAACTGGGACATTGAGGAGCCAGGATCTGCTGACTGTCTGCCTGTGGTGACATCTGAAGGTCCAAACAGGATAAGATCAGAAAGTTCCCCCTACTTATTTTATTTATATATATAAAACTTGGTCTTTTGACATATTTTATCACATAACTCACAGTAGATCCTCAGAAATTGTTCACGCTTTTTAAAACACCTGGGCACACATGAGATATGTTTGTGAGTGTGAACCAAGTCAGGGTGTTCTTTTTTTTTTTTTTTTTATTAAATCCATTCTGATGCAAACTGAGGCTTTGTCCTCACTCTCACTGCAGTGCAGTACTGACCCCTTTTTAAATGTCTGCTTTTCATTTCTCTTTGATGATTTGGAGTCAGGAAGTCAGGGTTAATAATCAGACTTAATTTCTGCATACACAATTCTTTGTTTTTAGTTCTCACAAATGTCAGGAACCAAATAAGGAAAGTGTACATTCTGTCAGCCCACGCTGTGCTCTTCCTGACGCTGTGACTCCTCCCTTTGGGAGCCTTAGCTCTCAACACCTCTCCTTGGGATATCAAATAGGGAAAGCTAAAAGAAACAACCGCCTGTCTTCCTCTAGGCCATTTTCTGCCCCCAAAGATGCCAAGAGAGTGATGATAAAATTATAGCCACTTCTAAATTGCCACTTCTCTGCTTCCTTCTCTCGAGTTTTGGAGTGTTTTAAGGCTGAGGAATCAGATACCTTTTTGTTACCTGAGCCAGAGACACATGGCAGCTGTAGGAGTCAGTCAGACCCAGTTCAGAATGTCACTTGCATAATTGGGAAAGCCATTTGAAAACTTGGTTTTTAGACCTGCCAGCCAAGGGATTAGGTAGGCTCAGCACACAGAAGGGTCACAGTGTCCCACGCCCCATGTGCCCAGACTTTGCTCTTTATCCCATGATCTACCCCTCACCCATTCCCCACCCCACACCAGCCAGGAAAAGAGGATGTCTGATTCTCCAGTGTATGTTTAATTCCTATTAGTGAGAACATTTCTAAGATCACGTTTTAGAGAGAATGAAAAGGATGGAACTGGAACCGAGCATCTGCCAGGAAGTACACTGCCACTCTCTGTAGATAATCAGAGAAGGAATAGAAGGGGCAAACGCATAAATCACAGTTCTTCCTAGTGACAGGGGAGGTGTCTCCTTGAAGAGCCAGGGTTGGGAGCTGTGTGTGCTTCTGACAAGCATACTGCCACTCCCATGGGTGACAGGACCTCAGGTCAGGGCAGTGGACAGCTAGTGCTGGGTAAAGTCAGCAGTCCTAAGCGTGTGTTGCCTAAGAAACAAGTCCTCACCCACCCGAGGGCCTAGTTCCATACACAGAGGTCATGGCATCAGCAGGTGGCTCCAGAGCTATGTAGTCACCACTGAGGAAAGCGCTGAGGGGGAAACAGGAACAGACTGTCAGCCTTCCCCACCCACGGGATCTGGGGGTGATTTCCACTGAGGACCCCTCTAACACCATTGTGAACTTGGCCCTCATTTTTGGAGCTCCGTTGTGGGGCGGCTTCCTAGCCCTGCCTCGTGTGCATGTCCTTGCTGTGAGCAGGCCATCTCATTTCAGTGTGTCCCTGCTGCAGTGGCTCCCCTGCTCACGCCCCTGTGGTTTTCACACAGTCCACCTGTGCCCCACTGAGGGAGGCTGACAATGGGCTCATGCCCCTAGGAGGCCAAGAACTTCCTGCTGCCTCCTCCAGCCTCCTTCTGCCCCTGCAGAACTGGGACTCCTCCACCGTGGCCAGCAGGCCCCTCACCAGGCTGCAGCTCCAGGAGGCACTGCTGAACCTCATCCAGGTAAGACTGTTGCCTAATGGTGGGCACCGTGGCAGACTGAGTTGACTGATGCCTCTTTGGACTCCACAGAGTGCTACCCCGCTCCTCCAACAGCTTCTAAACTCACTTAACTGGATGATATTCAGACTACTACTGTGGCCTGAGGTGTCTCAGCCTTCAAGGGATTTGTGACTTGGAGGAATGAGTAAGGCCTCCTCGCCCCAGAAGCCAGAAAAGAAGGGAGCATGTGATGAGTGGTTGGCTAGTCAGGACACTGGGAGCTCAGTATTGAGAACAGTCGTAGAGCCATTTGGGCAAGCTGCATTCCTAAGCCACACCAGCTGCAACTGCTGTGAATACAGGTCAGCTGTGGTTCTGCAACCTGCTGCTTAGACAGGGTGGACTGAGAGGACGCCTTGTCAGCCCCGGCCTTGAGTGCCTGTTGTACCGTGGTAGTAATCCATCCTGAACTATGTGCTGGGTACTACTCTACGTTTAAGAATTCACTTGATGGTACAGGAAACCCTACTATATGGACCAACAAGATCAGGTAAAGGTCCTTGCCACCAAGCCTGATGACCCACATAATGGAAGTAGAGATTCCCAAGTGTTGTCTTCTGACCACATGGGCGTCATGGCATGTCCTCACCTGCACATATACTCACACTCACATCATACACATACACAAAGTAAATCTGTGTAAATAAATAAATAAGGCCATCTTATTTGTATGATTCTACAGACAAGGAAACAGGCTTTTGTTTGGTCTGCTGTTAGCACTGAGCCAAGCTGCCCTGTTCCCGTCTCCTCTTGGACCATGTGAATTAGTGTTCCAAGACTAGACTGCCCGTGTAGCAGAGCACTCTCCCGAGTGAATGATAGGCTTTGGAAAGGGTACACAGGAGCAGACACCTCAACTAACGTGTTTAGGACTCTTCTTAAACCGTCATGAAAGTGTTGGTAGGCTGTGCGTAATCACGTGACGGCTGCAGGAGAGCAGGCCAGCCTTCGAGGATGTCTGGTTCTGCAGTGTATGTTTAATCCCTATTAGTGAGAACATTTCTAAGATCACATTTTAGAGAGAATGAAAAGGATGGGACTGGAACCGAGCATCTACCAGGAAGTACAATGGCGGTCTGGTATGACTGAGCCTTCCTAACGTACTTATGTCACTCATCTTAAATACACACTAAGATAGAAATATCCACAATAAGTTCATGAGAATTTAGAACAAATATCTGCAAATTTCTATAGCAGAACAATAAAAAAATCTGAACATAAGCTTAGATTTTAAAGATTCTTGCCTTTCCACTCTGATCACATTACCCCAAGGCTGTATGTTGTGCCTTAGATGGCTTAGTCCTGTTCCCTCTACTTCCTGTGCTGTGGATTTTGTATTCCTGATACGATGCTAAAAGTTACTCTGGGCATCTTTGTAGGAAAAGCTCTGTTCATGGTATGAGAATGCCGCTGACGGGTATGGAGAGGGAGTGAATTGGGAGGGTGAGCGTGGGTGACTGCAGTGGCTTCGTTAGATCTGAGTGGGAGGGGAAAGCCTCGTGCATGAATCAAGAGAGCCACTGCTTGGATTCAGAGTTTGCCCCCCACCCTAGTCAGACAGAAGAGCTCCGAGACCACCTGTCCACTGTTCCTTGCCAAGGCCAGAGACTTCCCACAGGTCATGGGAAAGGCCAGGCTGACTTGGGTGGCTTTGGTAAGGTACCAAGGTGCCACGCTGTGGGTAAGATCCCAGTGAATGCCTGAAACAGAGCACAGACATCACCACAACCTGGAGGATTTTTAGGAGGGACCAGCCGACGCCTCCACTGTTGCCAAGGCACTGTGACTCATCTCTCCCGGGCCAGTCTGCACACAGCACAGCTGGACTCCCAAGTGGTGGGCCTACTGTCTGTGCCGGGTGTTGTGAACACATGAACTTCCCATAGGGGCAGTGACATCCAGCAGCTCTGCCCAGCCTTGCCCCCTGCCCCTTTCCATCCACACTCACGGGACAGCCCTGCCAGCTGTCCACACAAACAGCAGAGTAGGAAAGGCACCGAACCCAAGGCCAGTTCAGCTTCAGGCAGGCAGGAAGTCTTGGTTCTGCTACTCAAGTAACAGTCCTCTGGGCCTATTGGCTTTATTTTCCAGAATGATGACAACTTCTTAAACATAATCTATGAAGCCTATCTCCTGAGTGTGACACAAGCAGCCGTGAGAAAAGCCACGTAACCAACGACCTGAGAGCAAAGACTTTGAGAATTGATTTTCCAGGTCCTTCATGTGAACTGGTGCAACCAAATGCATTTCTGCTTTTTTAACAAAGTATACTAATACAAAGTAAAATGTTTTGTACTGTCGAATATCTTGAGATGTTCCTTGTTTTTGACAAATCACACACTCCTGTATATGTGGCACTACAAATCAAGTAGGTAGATGGTTTTGACTGGGGTCATGTAAGATTAAATTTTTCCTACATTCATGAGGCCATTTTAAAAAGAATCGGGCTCTCATGGGAAGGGATGTTCTCGGATCTATTTATTAATAGCTAAGGTTAAAGAAGGCAATTTCCCAGTGTTGGGCTTTGTGTGCCATGGTACTTAATAACCACCAGGGGGCAATGTTAGTCCACAAGATACCTACTAAGCAGTCGGACACTTGGAAGCAATGAGGACTTAGAGGAAAGTCAGCCTTTTATTTGTAGAGTTCCCTTTGGCATGTTTGGTCTGAGCCACTGTTGGCATTTCTGTCTAGGTTCCATTTAGAAGTAACCGTTGTGTCAACAGTGGCCCAGGCCTGAAGCAACACTCACACTTCTCAGTTCAGGCGACTTCCTTGGACCAAAACAGCAGGACCAGCCTGCCCCGGCTTTCAAACGACGCATCTGGAAAATGTGCCGGAAGGGAGGTCGCATGAGGATAGGGGCAGAAGGACAAAAATCCAAGCTCTGTAGCGGTCCTGATGCTGTGTCGTGTGCAGAGAGATAATAAGCACAGTCCTAGAGGGAGGCAGCAGAGCCCTGCACTCCCCAAACAGTGCCGTGTGGGCATCGGCTCCTGCTGAGCATCCACAGCGAAGAAAGCTTTGTGTTTTCACCGCGCTAGTTATTCCTGGATCATAAGAAGATCTTTGGGTTAGGGCTTTGTAGTCAAATCTTATCCTCTCCGTGCAGAATTTTAAATGGAGGCTGGGGGTGAGGAATGGGGTAGGAGGCTGGTTTCCTTACAGCTTCTGGCCTTTGCTCATCCCTCCCAGCAGCAAGGGGCTGCTGGCACACCACCTCTGCTGTGGGAGGGCACACACCCTGTGGAAGAAAGGTGGGCCAAAGAAGACTGACCTCTGCTCTTTCTCACTGCGCACTGTGCTGTGGCCTGCATCTGCTGTGCTGGCCTCTGGAGGGGACGCCTTCCACGTCATCCAGCACAGTTATGAACCATCTGAACCTATCAATTATTTGGCAATAATTATTCACCTCTATAGTCTTGTGAGGAGAATGAGGCAAGAGAGACGGTCACTGTTCTGTGGTCCCCAGTCAGGGAGAACAGCATCCCTTTGGCAACACGTCTACTAAAATTGGAGCAGTGTTAGGCTGGGGATGTGCCCTCATGGTAGAGCACTTGCTAACACACAGGGCTCTTGGTTGAACCCCTAGCACTTAAACACTGGGGTGGGTGATGTATTTGGCCAATGACCAGTCTTTAAAATTAATCTGTGAGGGCTGGAAATGTGGTTTGGTGATAAAAATAAATAAAAAGTAAAATAATGGAAAACATTTACAACTGTAATTTCATCTATAAAGTTGCTTCTATAGCCAAGGAAAGATAAATTTCATTCTTAAAATTTTTAGCATATTTGCAACAATAAATAGCTTTATTTCATAAATTAGTTTCCCTGTTTTTTACATGAATAAGTAAAACAGAAGCAGCAGCAGAGCAAGCCAGGACCAGCAAGGTCAGAGATCAGGCAGCCTTTTTAGGCCAATGCTACAGTGATCTGGTTTGACAAAATGGTACATTCTCCATCATCCACTGTAGTAAGTCATCTTAAAGGCCAATTCACTTAGATCAAAGATGGCCACCTGCAGGACAGCCAGGATGGGGTGCATACCTCCTCGCCTTGGCAGGACAGAGTTGCCTTCCAGAGAGCTTCTCCGAGAACACAGGAAGAAACAGATCAGAAGGGTTTTCTAGGCACCCACGACTGAACTTCCTACGTAAATGTCCTCTTCCCATGCCCCTTCCAGAACTCAAATTCAGGGTGTCAGCCTGTACTTGAGGGTCTCTGCCCCAGCAGCAGCTTTAGTCTCCTGAATCTCAGGTAGAGCAGGGAATACTGTGGCTGAGAGCAGCTTCATCCAGTACCTGAGTGTCACCTTGCAGAGCCAAGGGAGTCAGGCTGCTGGGTGTAAAAGGTGGAGCATGAGTGGCGTCCCTCGGCCCCGTGTTCAGCTCCTGGACAGGTCTCTTTACAAGACACCTTATTTATGAATTGAGAGACCTCACAGAGTCCAGAGGGATAAATTGTCATGGTCCAGGGCTGCATGCCAGATCTTGGGAAGGACCAGCTGCCGGAGCGGCTTCTTACCATCACCTCAACAGTCTTTGCCTGAGGGCCACCTTGCCATGCCCAACCCTACTTTATTGATGCCGTGGAAGTAGTCAGCCCCTTCTTTATGAAGGGGCTCCATGGGCTGCAGTGCTGATGTCACTGTAACCCTGGACAGAACTCCGCCTGCCCCTGCCATGAGGTAAAGCGCTGTGTTAAGTTTCTGTTGTTGTGAAACAAACCTGAGGTGAACCCACCTAAAGGATAAACGCTTTGCTTCAGCACACAGTTTCAAAGGTCTTAGTCTGCGCTTTGGCTTTGCTCCGTTGCTGTGGGGCCCATTGATAACGAGGCGGAAGGCCACGGTGGAACAAAGCTGTTTGCCTTGTGGCAGCCAGGAAGCGAAGAGGAAGAGGAAGGAGGTCTGTGCTGGCAGGATGTCTGTCAGCTTACCACAAGCTAGAGTTACCTGAAAGAAGGAAAGCTCACCTGAGGAAAGGCCTCCATAAGATTCAGCTGTAGGGCATTTTCTTAATTCGTGATTGGTGGGGGAGGGCCCAGTCTGTTGTAATTGGTAGGCTCTGGGAGAGGGCAACCACTTTGGTCGATTTTAGATGTATGGCCACTGCCGAGCTGCCAGATTCCTACAGGTCAGATCTATGGGCACACAGAGGCGTGATTTCACACATGGATAGGCAGGGCCATGGATTTGTGCGGAAGAGGGTTGACAGGGATGGAGGAGGGTGGGGGTAAGGATGGCTAGTGTGCATTGCATACATGTGTGAAATAATCTAAAATCATTTAATCCATAAAGAGAAAAAAATCCTAGTACGTAAAGTACAGAAAATTTAGCATTAAAAAGAGAGAAAGGCCCAGGTCAAGGCCAACCCAGGCTGAAGGACTCAAGGGTTGGGTCGTTCTGCTTTCAGACCCGGGTACACTTCCAGAGGCTGGTGTGAGTCTGAAGACAGTGTGGACAGTGTGCCTCTCTGTATGAGAATTGTGGAACTTTGGTTTCTTTTAAAAACAGAGAACTCTATTTTCTTTTTTAATCCCAGATGCAGGGATTTGGGGCGGCATTGCTAGAGCTCGAGAGCTGTGATTGTGTCAGCTGCAGATAGTTTCTACAACTCAGGGATTTGGGGAATTCTGGGTACTTTTCAGAGGGTATATAAATCCAAGGACCCCAATAGGTGTGATTGTTGGTGGGTTGTTGGTTGCTGCTGGTCACGGTTTGTTAAGTAGTCATGAGTGAAGGAAGAAGAAAAGTAGTAGTGGTGGTGGTTAGATATTCTGACCGCAAAAATCAAACTTGCCCCAAGGAGTCTGATGCCCCTAATCAGCAGGAAGTAGTCTAATGATAACTCTGCCCCTTTCTAATCCCTGACTTTATTCAGGGATCTCTTTCCTCTCTACCCAATTTTTTTCTCTCATCTCTAGTGTTAGGAGGTTGAACGGGTGGAGAAGGGTAGAAGAAAAAACCCACAAAGTAGCAAAAGCTAGCTACACCTCCCCTCCTTGAGAAACCCCAGCCCGAGTACCTTAGCCCATCCTGCTCTCTCTCATGGGTGTTTAAGAGAAATACATAACCCATGAAACACCGGTTTTATGTGTTAGGCTACTCGCCTGAGCCCTGTGAGTGGTACTGATGGGAAGTGTACGCACAAATGAGCCCCCAGCTGTCAGCCAGCGCAGGTGCAGAGGAGACGAGCCCAACTGGTGTGATGCGGTGACGCAGAGGACTGAGGTCTCCAGGCCTCATGGGCAAACCCGCTGCTCACTCGTGCTTCAGCATAGAGGCTTCCCCTCCGCCCTCCTCAAATAATGTCTGCTTCGTCTAGACACGGCCTCTTTCCCTGTTTTCAGAGGAGTCAGCTTGCTTCCCAGCTTTGGGGAATTGAGCCGCCGTCAAGGTTAACTTATTTGTGCAGCCAGCCGGTTGTAGCCACGCTTTGTCATGCAAAGTTGGCTGGCTGCACACGTTCAGTGCAGTGCTGAATACTTGACTTGCAGATTGCAAATGCTTGGCACCCCAACCTTCTTACCATTAGGGAACGAGAGGGACGGTTACAGATCCTTGGTATGTTTACCCTAACCTGGCTTATCCAGACAGATTTTCACCAAATTTAGTTCTGAGTAATGTCTTCCAACAGCTTTGGGCTCCAAAGAAAAGTACACAAATAAAAGCCGGGTGTGCAGACTCTGGTCTTAAAACTCGAGCAGGGAGAGAAAAGTAATGAATGATCTCTCCAAGGGCCAGGCAGGCAGCATGGGGGGAGAGTGGCCCTGAGCCAGCTCTGAGTGCAGCTTAGACTGAGTTCCAGAGCTGCTGAAGATGGAAGCGAACAGAACTCACAGCCCGGCAAGCTGGCTAGAGGCCTGGCAGGATGGAAGTAAAAGGGTGTTCTAAGATGAGCCAACGCCGACAGTTTCCCCAGAAGTGTGAGGACCGAGAGGAGCCCCCTAAGTATTTGTGCAAAAGCCATGGTGAGCCTTTCAGTCATATGGCGAGAGTCAGGGGTTAACTGGAGTTAATGAGAGTCCAGCTTTACAGACACTGGAGAACCCAACTCCAGGCGTTCTCTGCAGCTTGTCTAGTGGCTGTACACACCTGCCAGCCACTCAACAGATCACCTCCTTCCGGAGATCTGCCCTAACTCCCCACCATCTGTCTGGTGTACCGGGCACACTGGCACCTACCCCGTTCCAGGGCTTGTGACCAAGATGGCAGGGCCAAGGTCTGGGGCTGTCATGAGCTCCTTATCCCAAGTGAGGCTGTGCCAAGAGCTGCACTGAGTGAGAATGACCTGGATTCC